CAAGTTCGGAGTCAACGCAATCAGAACTATAAATTTTCCTTATCCTAAAGCAGAGGGAATGAATTAAGTTCCTTTTCCTGGAAATAGGCATCCAACTGTAAAAATTAGTTAGTTATCCGTTCCATGTACGTTTCCGATGGATAGATCTTTTGAGAGATCCGTCATTACGTCTGCTAAGGCATACATCAAGAAATGGAATACTTAGTTCGGATTCCTTTTCTATGATGAATTGTTGAAAGCAAACAAGACATCATCAAGAATTACCTTATTGTCGCAGATGACGAAAGTGTCGTCTGCATATCTTCTATAAATGTCAAAATGACCGATGGTTTGACTAAGCTGAGAATTTTTCAGCTCTGCAATAAAACAGTCAGCCAACAGGGGACTCGGTGGTGATCCAATGGCAATGCCATCTCTCTGTCTATAGATCTCATTATTGAAGGTGAACTGTACATTCAGCGTGCATTTCAATAAAAGCTCTTTGAGGTGGATTGTTGGCAAACCTATTTCTAAACTATGTGTATCAATATAATCACACAAATAGCAAACAGTTTCCATGAGCGGAACATTGGTAAATAGTGACGTCACAACTAATGAGAACAGGACTTTGTCTGAGATAGTAAAATCTTTATTGCTATCGATAAATTTAAACGTATCAATAACGGTGGTGTGTTTGGTGTTTTAGCGCATCAAAGTTTGAACAACCATATACAAATTGCAGGTCTATTTTACTCGAGCATATTTCTTATTGCAACTTGATGGGTTCAATTTGGACTTAGTTTCAAAATATTAAATGAATGCATACAGCTTAGGCTAAATTAGTAATCATAGTATTACTGATTTTATAATTTATTGCACGAAAAAGGAAATGATTATCAGGATAAGTAAACTTAAGGAATAAAAACACTAATTTTTTTATTTCTTCCATTTGATTTTCTTGTTTCTAATTTCACAAGAGACTAAGAATAGTTTCATTCAATTTATATGCAAATATCATTGGTAAGCACAGTAGAATACTCAGCTTCCAGCAAACATAAATCAAATGAGCATCAAGTATTGGCTTAGGAGAAGAATGAAAACGACTCTTAAAAGAAACATAAAGAAATTAGACATGTTTTCACACTGTTTATATCTGGTACTATCAAAACGAATTGAAGAAAGCTTCTTCCAGTTTTTGTATGTCAAATTTTAGAAAATGAAATAAGTTATATCTCATTTTCACTAGAAGTTGAAGCCTGCTGAGAAACTAGTCAGAGTGATGAGTATTTTTTTTCAGCTTTGTGCGGTTAGAGTGACTTTGTTTTACACCAGTGTTGTGTATTTACATCTGTTTTTCCACAAAGATTTCATAGAATCTTAGTCTTTAGTAAAGTTTTGTGTGCGAAATACATAAGTTATGTAACTTGGCATTTAACCAAACACGAAATGTTGAACGCTGACCGTTGGTAACTGTAATAAATGAATAATGTTAACAGAAAAATACCTTTGAATAAAGTAGCTTTGGATGTAGCTAACGTGAAGCGAATTCCACTCACTATAGGAGAAATTCTAAATAGCCTGTTTCTAGCACGCCTGGCTTTATCTATCATGATTTGGCAGTCTTCATATATAATCTCCGTCTTCTAATAACGCTATCCAAATTTATAAAAGGGACTTGTTGTTTTAAAGTCTTCATATAAACAGATATATTTTGAGAATTCACTGTTTATTAATTATTGTAATATTTTCAATATTTTCTAGGTGATGGAATTCCACTGAGAAAGTACCAGTGGGTTTTAAACTGGATTTCATTCAATTCCAAAAAGATGTAAAATTAGGAACTCTGACCAGGAACCTGTTGCCTAACAAATATGCAGAAGGAGGTAGTGATGAATCGGTCACCCTCTGAGGAGATCATGCGCAATGCTCACGATTGCAACTAGAACGTAAGATAACTCACTAGGCGTACGATGATGACATGGAGGACGTTGTGTGACAAGGGGGTGAAATCTTCTGTGCAATCGTGAAGCCAGAAAAAAGGACTATCGAGAATAGATTGCAACAGATGTGTGCTGTGGAAGCCTTATATTTCACTCGGAATAAACGAATAATAACAACAACTTCAGTGAACAGTAATCAAATATTTGTATTTGTGCAGACATCTGTATCACAAAACTGATATCTGTTGTAGAGAACAGCTGATGACCAGTATTCTGTCGCTATAAAGGATTGAGACATGCAAGCGTAATACACGTTATCATGAATATATTTGCAATTTGCTTCAACAAACAATGATAAGTTACGATTTTGGTTATGCTTTGACTTGGAATAATAAAATTTCAGTTTCTAGTTTCCCATTGTATAAACTGCAATGAAAATATAAGTTTGTGCTTAGGTTTGAAGTATTCTGCACAATAAAGAATTTCCATTTATGCACATGAAGCAGTAGATAAAATATAAATAACTATCGTCCCAGTTTTTCCACCTAATATCTATATGCAGGTAAAAACGTCACTGAAAACTGGCTAAACAGGAAAACTGTAACGTGAGGAGTGATTTATTCCAGTAGATAAAATGGGGAACCTCGTCTAGTTTACTAACAGACCATATAGAGGGCAGGTTAAGAGAAAGATTAGTTAGCCTACTCCAAACCAACTACAGAATTTTCAAAGCAAACGAAAAACAAACCTATTCTCCACTGGAATCTGGAAGACTCTCCATTTTGACAACCAGTGATTCCTGTTTATTTTAGACTTCACGAAACTACACGACCTATGTGTCTTCTATCCATCCATAAAAGCAAAATGAAGCATACGGTTATGAAATATTCATACTGCATTTCAGGCTAGCTAAATTGTCCAGATTAATGGGATAAGGAGGAGATATGGAATGGAAGTGCACCCTCAGATTTGCGAAATAGAGAGTCGGTAATCTGTTATAGTAATACAGGTAACACCAACACACTGATAGTGTGACTATTATGGTATTTCCAACAGATTGAAGGCAATCAGGACTGATGGAAACCCATCAGAAGCTTTTAAACTGATTTCGGAGGCCTTACAAGATGTGTTCATGCCACTGCTGCAGATATAGAAGAAATGGAATATGCCTGTAGCTTATAAAAACGTTTTAATTATCAAACTATCAGAGTGTAACTAACGGTCCGCAGAAACTCACGATTTAGCATGCTCCTGTCTATACAAGGTAACACTAAGCTGAATCATTCTGCAAAGACTAAAAGATGCTCCAGATACCTAACTCTTTCATGAATACACTTGATTCAGGAAAAACCAAACCACATGCAGAATGAATTGTGGCATTACTCACCATCATCGTATGACAGTCAACTGTTTATCTGAATTTCCTCGACTTCAATAGCATCACTCCTTTTAACTGCATGCAGTGCACTATCAAAATCACTTATAAACCTCACTCATAAATCATACGATGATACCGAATGCAGAGTAATTCACAAGAAAAGGCTAATCGAAGTGTTTAAAGTGAAAACAGTGATTGTCAGCGATCTTCCAAGTTGTTGCAGACTGGATCGTTTGGTAGTCCGTATGTGGGGAATGAGCTGATGAGCATATGTTGGACATACACAATGATCCAAAAATGTGTAGATTTTGCGGATGATCTGTGTCTCACTTCTCAAAAGATCGAAGGCTTACTAGCGACAATCACCGAGTCGAAATAGGGGACAGAAAGGCCAGAAGCTCAGATGAGCATAGAAAAAATAAAGGTGGTAGAGATAACCGCTTAACAACGACAAAAACAAATCATCATCAGCATCACTGGAAGAAAGAGAAAAGATGTCATCTCTTTCATTTGCCTGAATGAGCAAATCATTTTGACTACAGTCAGTGGCACACATGAAGATGTTGAAGCTAGTCAAGATGCACTTGAAAGTGCAAGGCAGGCGTTCATTACTCTGAAATTAGTGTGGAGATTCACCGCACTGGCTCAGAGAACTTCATCAAAACTCCCCTTCTCCCATTAGTGACAATCTAATGACCAACAGGGATAGCCAGTAAGGATCTCTATCAATGTAGATAACCAGACGATAACTGGCTGCAGAAGGAAATCGAGAAAACTTGAGCGACATAATGTACCGTAGACTTTGGTGGAGATCATACGATACAGAAATGAATGTTTGTGGGTAGTATTTCAACGGATTGGAAGTGCTGATAGAAAATGAAGTGCAATAAAGATGTGGTGCTGAGGTATTGTGTTCTATTTGCAGTTAGAAAAATGAATAATAATAATATTCAACGTTTTGACAAAATCGTGTGACAATAAATGGAAATCCATCACATTTGTTGGAGTTTTTTAACTTATGACTTTTATTTGCCACGGAGAGTGAACACCTGCTTACGGAGTGGAAACAACAATATATGGCATAAAAAAAGAAACTACTATCATACTGAGAGAAGAAGAGTAAAAGATAGGAAGGATACGAATATGTGTTATAATGCAAGAGAAATAAAACGTTTCCTACTGTCATCAGTTTCAGTCTTAATTAGTCAAATTTTACCTCAAGGTGACGCAGAATGGTGTTTTTTTAAAGATTCGATTTCAATGAATGCGTGATAGAAAGTGAAAATGCATACATTTTTATAAAAAAAATTATATTTTACGTACAAAATGAGGATTGCAAATAAGCGTACACTACGCTATAGAACAGATAAGAAAATACTCAATTTTTCCTTCACTCTCATGGCCAGAGGATCGTTATTATCGTGACGTCTATTTCTAATTGCAGTATGCATGTGCAAGCAAAACAAGTTTATCTGACTTCTACAGCAAAACAACTATAATGAGATACTACGACACAGAACTGCATACCCAGTTAGTTAGCATTACCTTTAAAAAATAGTCACTATACAACACAGATAATTACAGAATTCAATAAAGTGACTGAGAACTCCCACTTCAAGTACAAACCACTAATACTTCAGATTGAACAGATAGAATTTCTTATTTTCTTTAGTAAAGGCACATGGAATTCTTCAATCGTTCATTCAGATCCATTCACCCTCTTGATCCGAATCTTGTGACACTGGTTTTGGAATCCTTACTATATTACCATTATCTTCAAAAGGACTTCTTTTAGGCGTACGGTGAATGTGTGAATTCATTGCCTCACATTCTTGATCGTAATCGCTTAATAATATATTCGGTATGGGACACACTTGATGTTGAGGCGCTTGTTGATAATCATCTCTAAAGCTGTCATCGAGTGATGTGCGGGCATTATGAGAATCAGACATGCAAGCAGAACTTTCACTGTCTGTTGGACTACATTCAGACTTTAGTCTACTGCCTAAGTCTTCCTTTGTTTTTTGATCTGTCTCCGTCAAACGATAATTAGGTTTCAGTGCAGCTGCTTGATTTTGAAAGCTTGAGGAATGAGACGATGGAGATGACACTGGTGAACGTGTTGATGAAGATGCTGATGACTTCCAACAAGGCGCTAAATAATTTAATATGTGGTTTATCACAGGCACCGGTCGAACGAATGATTGTATCAAAATATCTAAGTTCATGCATACAAAAGAATTGAAAAAGAATACAGCGGCAATCCATGTCAAGAAGTATGTATATCCATATTGTGTTTCTATGCTTTTCAGTGACATCTCATCACTATCACCTGAGTTCTTGTTGCTATTATTACTAGAAATTTTCATGTTGGTCAAAGTGGTTTGATCAGGCGATTTGAATTTGAATATGTCAAGTTTTAATAAATTCTGGATGCATGCATCTGCAGAGATTGGATAGAGAATTAAAGATGCTATCGTGGTTATGCCTAAAAGTGAAAAAAATATTTAATAAAGGAAATATTAGTTTCGCAAAAAATTGATTTTCTGTGTGTATAGTTTTAGATATAATGGAGAAGATTTGTAGCTCAGGTTTGAATAGAGGAGTTGTGTTCCCTGAGCTGAATGGTTTATCTATAAAGCTTTCATCATCTTTCCAGACCATATATTCAGCGCATACTTCAAAAATGGAAAATTCACAGTTAAACCATCCAGAATGAAGAAAACGTCTACACCAATATATATATATATATATATATATATATATATATATAGTTTTATATCCTCATCGATGGTTACTATTGCTTCTAAGATGAAGCTGGTCGGCTACTTGTGGTAGTTAAAATAAGTATCTGTAGCTACATTTAGTGCCTTTTTGGGATAAGGCTGATCATAGAATCTGAAGGTTCTCTTGGATGCTAAGAAAGCACTGAAATGGTTTTAAATTTCATATGTTGAAAAAGGACTAGTAATCGAGTCAGACTATCAAACAGTGAGAATTAAGCACGAAGAATTATAAGTTACAAATACTAAACCTATATTTTACAATAAATAGTGGTTCTTCTGTTATCACATATTAGTTTGTTTATTAAATGTATCACACAGTGCAGCAGTATTATTTACTCGAACACAATCTATTGTCCGTAATCAAATCAATTGTAATCACAACTTCGAAACTTGAGTTTTATAGTTTTCTTTGTTTTCTCCTATTTGTCGCAGGGGTAGTAGTTTGGGACAGGTGTTGAATCATTCCTATTACATGTATTTGCAATTGATTCGACAGACAAAGCTTCTGTTATCAAACTCTCCCTCCACCCTGTGACAGATTTTAAAACTGTCATCTTATCCCATCCATCCTATTGTGTGGTTGTGTGTAACTGCATGTAGTGCTATAGTTGAACTATTCTCTAGATTTCTTATCTTATTTGGGTCAACCAATGTAGATTTTGCTAGGTTTTTATGTTCGGCTAGTCTGATTGCCCCCGTTCTACTAGTTTGACCAATGTATTCGACCTGACAATCATTGAATTCCATAGAAAGAAGGAACCTTAGAAACTTTACACAGAATTCTTAACATTGCTGGCAGGAATAAAATTGGCATTCAAACCCACAAACTCAATTAGAAACAAGCTTGGTTGGCTAAAGTATTCTGTGAAGCCTTTAAAACAAAACAATTTGGTTTATCTAATATGTTGCTGGAGTGCTTGTCAGGTCAAATACATTGGTCAAACTAGTAGAGCAGGGCAATTAGACTAGCCGAACATGAAAACCTAGCAAAATCTAGATTCACACAGAATAATTTTATCTGAACAATGTTAAAACTGAATATATACTACACTATTGCTAGTGTCATTGGGATGTATGAATGGTTTATAACTTCTAAACAGTAAGTAACTCATAGTTCATTTGCTTTCCGGTTTCATAAACAATTACTTTTGTTTTTATGCAACAAACAGATTCTTTTTGTTCACTTATTTTTAGCCATAATATTTTACCGGCTGATAGGCACTACCACCGCTCGGGCATGATATAATAAATGAGTTGGTAAATACACAGTGGCCACTGTACTTGCCTACCACTAATTGTAGTAGTTTACAGACCAATTATATACAGTACAGTCATTCAGATGAGTGATAAAAGTAAACCTACTTGATGATTAATCGCAGTATTAGAAAATTAGCTTAAAAACAGAAATAATTGGGTAAAACATTGGAGTTTCTCATACTTAATTGTGACTCAGGTTCTTTTGAGATCAACTCATTGGCCGAGTAAATCAAGAAGCTATTTGAGAATGTCTGAATTTAATTTGCGTGTAATTTTATTAGGAATTTAAGTAATGCAAAGCTATCATATATTGAATGTATAGTGCTTATCAAATCACTAGTGACTGGCCGTATTCAGGTAGTTACCTGAGGTTCTAGTAGGAAGCCGTGACCAGTAGGGTACAGCAGGTTGAAGGTGAGGCAGTAATTCACCGAAGGAGACATTGCGAGGTGGTCACGCTTTGTCGTGAATTGGCAAAAGTTAGAATTCATTGGCCATTGGATCGGGTCCAAGTGACTTAATGGTCTATGAGCCCACCTTGTAACCAGAAGGTCCTGGATTCGAACCTCGCGTCATGGGTACATACTGATGAAGAGTCCAAAACAAGGATGAAATAGCTGTCTAGTAATCCCAAGTTTTCCGGTGGTTCTCTAATTGATGTCAGCTCATGATAATTTCACCACGGAAAATTTATTACTAACCAAGACAATAGCTCAAAAACTTTGTGCTAAACATTAAAACAGAAAATAATACATAATACCGATCGAAATGACCTGACCAGTCAATCTAATCAGAAGTGATAGATAGCCTAACTGAGGTTACCCAAAGACGCTTTTTTTGACAGAACCACTTAACAACACATTCATTTACACCAATCTCAGCCAACTGCTCAAGTTAAAGTCAACCAAATTCTGGCTAGGCAGTGAAGGGAAGTGGTTATACATACACTCGATTTGTCGGTTTCAACTGTTTCAGCCACTCACACCAACTAGAAGTATAAACCATCTTACAGTTACGTTTGCTTTCTTGATACCAAGTAGATTAAATGTGGTCATCTGAATATTTATGCTTTGTAATTAACGCTGATAATGTTTTACTCAACCTAACCCAAACATGTTAATGGTTGAATAAATGAACTGGTAAATGAAATTATAATGCATTTAGTTTTATTTTACACACCATATAAAAGTCAGAAATAGTTTTACTCTTCCTACATAGATCTGTATTCATGTTTTACTATTTAACCCTATCAGATTTTGTTTAAACCAGATGTTAATTTTCCCACTTATGTAGCTACGTTTTTTTGTGAGATCTTTACTTTAAACACGGTTCGGACTACTATAGTATTATCAATATTCCAATGAATTGAATTTCTGTTCGAACACATTTTATTTGCGTCATCTTTTGGTGGTATATAGTGATTTCAGGACACCTTCAGTCTCATGCTGTACCTTTGAAAGCTATTAAAATTCAGTCTGAAATTACAGTTATAATCTGTCTTAACATTCTGATTAATTCCGTCTGATATAAATAGTGACAGAGTTTCTTCGCTCGTTCGTTAAGAAATTGCGAGTGATAGTTTTATTGGTTGGAGGATTTCATCATGAGCTGACATCAGTTAGAGAACCACCGGAAAACTTGGGATTACTAGACAGCTATTTCATCCTTGTTTTGGACTCTTCATCAGTATGTACCCATGACGCGAGGTTCGAATCCAGAACCTTCTGGTTACAAGGTGGGCTCATAGACCATTAAGTCACTTGGACCCGATCCAATGGCCAATGAATTGTAACTTCTGCCAATTCACGATATAGCTTAAACGCTAACCAATGTCATTGGCGAGAATTTGTCCTCACACACGACCTGCTGTACCCCACTGGTCACGGCTTCCTACTAGAACCTCAGGTAACTGCCTAAATACGACCAGTCGATAGTGAGCGTCAGATGACAGTTTTAACTGTCTGATGTGGTTCAATGGATTCATTTAGCACTACTTAGATGTACAGTTTATCAAATACTTTTGAAGTTCTACAGATTTTCGCTCGTCTCCTTTGTAATTTAGGTCTTCAAAATCCATTTAAACTAATAAATGTCAACCAGTGAATGTCTAATAGTTTCGACTTATACTCTGAGGACATCCTCCGAGACCAATGGAGTATTTAGAGTTGTTAGTTGATAATTCTTCAACAAAATAAAGGTACTATAAACCCTGTGGAGTGAATACTATCTTGAAGATAATAGGACAGACAGCCCTAATTGGAATATAAAAGAAAGTATTATCCTAGGTGAGTTCAAAACCTTGAGGCTTACATTCAAGCTTTTATTATTGTCATTAAGTGACTACGAGTTTTAAAGTTGTCAGTCAGTACAAAATTTATACATCACTTGTATTGAAAGTTTTACATGTTGATGGCGTCTGAATGATTATGATTTGAACATGCAGATTTCTAACTCAGAATCGAAATCAGACAGTTTTAAATTTCACCTTAACATGAATACTTTTGCTATCTGACTAAACATTTGACATAATTTTATTACTACATTTGTCTTTAAATCTTGTCAGACTGAAAAGTCGAGTAACTGGGAAGTAAAATAGTGAAAAATACTTTCGTGTTCACCCAATACTTGGTGAGACGGACTGTCAGTATTCAGATTTTCTTTCATCCAGTTATCAGCCATCTAAACATTTAATTGTCATGGATGATATCACATGGTTTTATATACGATAGCTTAAATATAAGGCTTTAAGATGGATGGTATGGTATATTTTGTTATTTAATTCAACTAATGCAATTAATAAACTCTAAAACACTAACATCGTTATAAACCATTCATTCAATTTTTTTCAACTACCACAAGAGTCTGGCTTAGTCTGGCTTCAACATCCCGCGAAAATGTTAAATACTGTGCGTGATGTTTTCAGGAATCACATGTCTACTTTAATTAATGGAGTTATCTCGCGTTTTGGCCAAAATCTTACAAACAATAGTCTTATAAAAACAAACATTACATTCCCAAATTAATTTTACAAGTTTCTAATGCATTGGTGAAGACTGAAACGCACTTTATGATGCAGTAAACCTCTGAAGGCTAGTAATTAATTCAGTATTCATTAGGATAAAGATAAAATTGTCTTTGACATGACAAAAATACGCTGTAAAAATTTTTTTAAAGTCAATATAAAAACCTGGTTCGGTTAATGGATGAACTGAAAAATTATGGAAGGAAATGTAGGAGATAATTCTCTTAGCTTCAGGTGCATCATTCGATTTCTTTCAAAATTGGCTTTTTTTCCGAAATGAGTAAAGCTTGATAGCGACATGGAAATATTCTTTTTTGGCAGGGTCGAAACCAACTAGCTTCGAAATACCATTCTGGGACTAAACTACAGTATCAGTGTAATCGCAATTTACATTCTATTAACCTTATTGTTTTACTTTTCGCCTTTACTATTTGAACCACTTTGTTCATGAAGAGCCCATGTATGAATACAGATTATAACTAATATTGAAGAACTACAGAATAATAGGAGCTCAATAGTTCTATGTATTACGGCCACTATTTTACCTGAGTTTGAAAAGTAACAACCTCTTAACGACATACTGAGCTGAATATTACGGATAAACGCTATGAAATTTAAACTGATTTTATGTGAAAATGTTTTACAATAATCGTCATTGGTATTAGTTATACTAACAGAAATTTGGGTTAAATGGAACGTTAATCTGTTTGACGTCATTCTTATAAGAATGAGGTGACATGTGGCTAAGAATACTGATTGACTTGCATTTATTTGAAGTTAAATTGAGGTGAATTTTCTTCTGAAATAAAAGAAATTTTCAATAATCAGTCAATAATCATCTGGACATCAAAATCAATAAATACCTGGAGCAATAAAGTGACAGTAACGTTTTGCGCATATAATTGTTTTCCCTTTTAAATTAAAAAATCAAGGGATATAGCATTAAATATGTTAAGAACGGAAGAATGATCTTTGACAGTCTTTGTTAAAAGTAGAAATGACATTTTCCTACAAGAACATTGTGCATAGGCCTTGTTTGAAACAAATCTTTATTAATCTTGTTTGTACAAGTTTCTAAAAATACACTTTTTACGTTTAAGATAAAAAGTACACACGTGTTAGCCCTCACATTGTGTTCTCTTTTCATCGGCTACCTGGTTGCTACAACAATTATTGATTGCATCTCTTAAAAACTCACAGGCAATTCAGTCTCTTTGCGAATAGAACTTAACAGCCTACTTGGCAAGTCTAAAGTAGAGAATAATCCCTGAAGTATGTAATAAGTGAATCTTCGGACTGTTACTAAATTTCTGGCTAGCGGACCAGACTTATTCCACCCCTAGCTGGGCGTACACTTTAATAAATGTAATGAAGCGCTAGAATATCTTTTGTTGCTTCTCTTTCGTCTTATGTTGTGCATCATTACTGAGTCCATAAATGGGTCCACAACAAGTACTCACACAAATCACGGGTAAAACTTTGAGTTATTTCATTCGTGATATCACGCAAATAGATTTCAGAAGCAGTTTTTAACAATTATTCAGAAACGACTGCATGTCTGCCTTTTTAAGCGCAAGTGGCTGGTTCAAACATTTGTGTTCCAGTGAGTGATTAATGAATCGAAACACTGTTGCGCTCAGTGAATAGACCTTTATATATATATATATATACATATAACATTTTTTTCGCAGAAACAACACTGACAGATACTAGTTCTCACACTGTTTAATGGAAGGAAAACGCTTTGAAAGTTCTCTTCTAAGTGATATTAATCTTACCACATAAAAACGCCCAACCACACAATAACAGTAACACATTTTCAAATGTAACTGGAGTATAATTCATATTAGATTACATCACTGCCCTATGCAACTGACTATCATCAGTGTCGAAGTAATTAAACTATTCTGCAATATACGCCTAATGGCGAAATCACTACTACAGTCAAACAGCTTAACTTTATTACTCCATAAGATTTGACCTCCACGTTTGTCTTGGTTTACTTTCTGAATGGAATTACTTATCCTCTTCTGCGTTTACACACCTCCCATGTATTAGGTTTAATATACAGTCTGACAAATTATAAACAAGAAGAATCACAGGTTGTTATTTGTTCCCTCTTGTAGTAAACAAATAAATCTTTTGCTAAAGGTGTTCATTTTCCCTTGCATTAGAGTGCACGAATATCAAAAAAACTTTCCTTATACTGCCTCATGACAACTCGTATATATATATATACATTTTCTTTTCTTATATTTAAGTACTCTAAAGCAATATGGACGCCAAAAGTTCTCAGGTTGCACAGACTTCTCCCCATAACATAAGGTTTCACATATTTATGTGGTTTCTGTTACCATTCTTATTACTTCAAAAAGAAAAAAAAACCTTATACTCACTTGAAACCAGAAAGCATTCACCTGCTGAATGATAATAATACAATCGAAGAATCAAGGCACTTTTGCATACTCCAGTAATAGCTAAACCTAGGCCCAGAAGTCCAAATAGGCAAGCGCAACCAAGCAAACAGATAATCGATGTATGAAGTTCTGTTGACAGGATTTAAAAGTAATGAATACAATTATTTTTAAGGCAATGTTTACATAAACATTCTATATCATTAATAATTTATAATGAATGTATGAATCAAAACTCAATATCAACTGTCACAGAACAAGCAGAATGATTAACTGTCATATTTCAAGTGAAACCAGGGCAATCTTACCAAATAATATAGAAGATTTCTAGATCAGGTGGTTGCTTTTTTTATGCATCTGTAATCTCTGAGCAGTATGACTTGAATGAGAAGCTTACAATGAAGCAAAGTGCTTGATATCTGGCTTGGAAGGACAATGAAAGCTTAACAGGCAAACCATCTAGCTAACTGAGCACAACCAAAATCGAGAAGTTTATCTCATGAAATATGTATCCGTCAGAGACAAACATGAAGATTAGTTAACTTAAAAAAACAACTCAGTATGGAATTTTTCGGAAACCACTATTACAGTTACCATTTAAAATGACAGAATATATCACTTTTGTGTAAATGTCATATTATATATAAGATATTAAAGTTGAATAATATCCTAGAAGTGTTTTTATTTGATTTTATTAGGCTTTAACTGTTACAAGTCAGTATTACTTTAGCAGATGAAAGGCCAACAGTGAGAAGTGATTCCCTATCGATGGAGTTTAACCTATAAATAACAAATGAATAGTAAAGGAAACTGTGTCATTAGCAGAAGTGAATTTTGTTAATTGACTTCTTGAGGTTTAGGTCCACTAAAATGTTATATATATATATTTTATTTTTTTGATTACAGATTGACTCCACACCATATTTTTGGTACAGGTATGGAATTTTCAGCATGGATATCGGTAGCCCAAATTTGGCAGGCCGACCATAGATATGGCACAGTGGTTAGGACACTCGTCGACCATGCACATGGTCCGGGGTTCGAGCCCTCGCCGACGCACACTTGATATCTATGGTCGGCCTGCGAATTTCGGGCTACAGATATCCACGCTGAAAGTTCCATACTTGTACCAAAAATACGGTGTGGAATCATGCTGTAATCAAAAATAAAAAAAATAAAAAATAAAAAAATGTCAGGTGTGCTTCGACAGAGGATCGAACTCCGGACCATGTGCATGATCTGCGAGAGTCCTAACCGATGTGCCACTGACGCACATATATATATATATTTGGTGGACAAAGTTGTTTGACTTCTTGTTAGTTTACTCTTAACATATCACCCGATATCCTTGGAAAGCCATCTGTGAACACCGCTTTTGCAAAACATCGCTTAATACTGAACCATGAATGATCCCTCCTTTCACCATCTTCAAATGACATTAATTTTGTTAAATATCCTGACGATCTGACTGTATCTTCGCCTGTCAAGTGTCAAAGTAACTGCTCCAAACTAAATGGCTTTTTATCAGAAATCAGCCAGTGGTCCAAGGAAAACGGTCTAACGTTAAATCCCTCTAAATGCCGAACAGTCACCTTAAGGCATAAATCTGACCTAAACAAACTGGTTAGCACTCACGAGGTGTGTAACATAGATGGCACTGAAATAGAAACCAAGTCCGAAATTAATTATCTTGGCGTCATTCTATCTGCTGATTTTTCCTGGTCATCTCATATCCTGATGATTTCTAAGAAGATATTTCATTTTACCTTCTACATCAATAAGTTAAGACATTCTGGAATAACCCAACCTTTACTCTTACAATTCGTTAACTCTTGCATCCTTCCTATTTTTCTCCATTGTTCCCCCTTAGTTTTTCCAGGGTTACTGAAGAAGGAGTATATCTTATTACGTAGGGTGTTAAAGTTTGTCAACAGAGTAAGCAATGTACCACTTAACCAGTTTGTTAATATTCTAGTTGGACTCATGTGAAAAATGGGCTCAATCCATTCTATCTAACTCACACCACCCTTTTCATTCAGGCAGGACAAGAAGCCTATATATAAAACTATATGCTCGCACTAGTAAGTACAAAATTCAACCATACCCTAATTAGCTCGTGTTCTATGCGATAAAAAAAGCATAAGGCGTGAAACCTATAACTTATTAAATAGTCAGTAGAACAACTGGATCTCATCTTTCCAACTCATATCATTTATAGGTACAAAGGTTTATTTCTTTCCTGTTTTGTTGTTATGTGCTGTTTAGTTTCTCTCTTCCTTACAAACTCTATTTAAAACACTATTCTTTGTTCTTTCACAATCATTATATCTCGACCCTTTTGTTACGGCTTACGCCAGTAAATATGCTGACATCTACTTTTCTGACATCTTCAAACAGCCTGTTCAATTTTGGCTTTGCTACCAACATGCCAGTATGTTGTTTTTAAAAGTAACTGAGATTACCCTTAATCTATGTAGAACTTTACTTATTTTTAATGTAATAACTGGATGCAATACTGTAGTAAAATGTTGAGAATTCCATTATGTATCACAAGGACTGTTTTGGAATAAAGCAAATTATTATTATTATTTCAAGGAATTATTTAGTGAATCGGTTAGAAAGCACTTATGGTATCTGTCTGGGGAAAAAGCGCTTCTTACATTCCCCTGAAATTATGTGTGTGACATTTTTGCCCTGCATATACTTCTTAAGTCTCTCTGTGTACTATAGTCTTTGGTGAATCTCCGTTTACTTCGTGTATACTGGATGCTCGGCAAATTAGGAATACCTTCAAAAAGAAAACAGAAATGTAGACTATCAAAATAAAACTTGTCGGTGTTAATAAACTATAACCTACTGAATTTATTTTCAAGTAAACTTACTCCAGTTGTTCTGCAAGTGATAAATTATTGAAAGACAAGTAGAATTGTTTGGTAAACATAAGGTCCACAATCCAAGTTCATAAGGATGTCGACCTTCAAAACAAAATACACATGAATTTTAAATAAAAACCATGATAACTTCTTTCAATTTAGGATGTTTGTTTATCTTTACATCTCTAATCACTCGTAAGGTCCATGTTTGAGAGAAAGATCGGTGTGGATAAGAAAATGAAAATGATTGTATAACTCAATACAAATAATTTATCACTCATCGTAAAATCTCTTATGTGCATATATCCAGAAGTCGACGCCTTAATGATTATGCGAAAAAAAGGTTTAAGATGACATAAATATTTACAGTTTCACTGTTTGTACTTATTTGTTGCATAATAACCCCGGTGACCTAATTTACACATAGCTCATCTTTTAAAATGGTGCTTAAACTGTAAAATGGTAATGTAAAAGCTACTTTACTTTATTCTTTTTAAATTGCTAGGCATTTTGTTGCAGTTATTTTTGAATTTCACCAACGGAGACATTTTGTTAATGACGATGTTGTATAATAAATACCATAGATCACTCGCCTGTTACCTGTGTGTATCCATTAAAGAATAAACCCATTGAATTTATAGGTTACTTTCCCCATGTTAACCGCAGACTTATGCAAGGAATTTGACTCTACGTGTTTTGCAGCAGTTAATTCCTGTTTCACTTTTAGATCTTTAGACAACATTTTAACATTTTTACTTAAAATTATTTAAAACATCTGACATTTTAATCGCAACGTCTTGAGGAAACTTAATTGCACTGATTAGTCACTTGTAAGAAACAAAAGTATGCCATCTAGCCTTTAAGGAATTATACTATTGAAGCCTACGTTTCCACCAAAAAGCCAGAAGATACCCAGTATTTTATTGACTGATCGTATTGACCTATGTCCAGACATGTCTACTTCCAGTACAGACTGTACGACGATGTGTACAGGTTAGAATGAAGTTATCTATTTGGTGATCGTTAGCAGTGCATCTAGCATGCCTACTTCGTACTATCTGAGACTTATAATCTGGATACCCCTGTATCCTGTGTAAAATGTGTTGTTCCCACTTATGATTAATTCCAGCACTTGACGTCTAAAAAAGCCAAGGCATTAATCAATACAAGAGGTGACTTTCAATTTTTATTGGCCAAGTGGGAAACGCTTTACCATTTAAAAAGATGGGTGTCACGTTTTCCATGAATTCCAGTCAGAAAACCACCACTGATTCTGGATACCTATGCATGTGGCTGTGGAGTCTCACATGGGATGAAGTGCACAGTCTGGATTTCACTTCTAGGCCCTCTTGACTAAACGAGATCTTATAGCTTGGTGACCACCCTGCAGCATTAAACTGATTGGATTTAGTAAGAACTAAGAATCAGACAACACTTTATTCACTTACAAATGACTAATCGTTTAAAAGAGTGGTAGTGGTCAGCTGTAGCGTTTCTGATTGTAGCCTTTGTTGATGCTGGTTTTAGTCTATGGAGAGACATCAGTTCCTATCACTTCGCATATCTAAAATGAGGATTATTTCTGGGGCTTACTACAAACAGTTATTAGTCATTAGGCTGTAAACTGTTCAGATCAAAGTATTGAACGTTTTCTGTTTTACCTAAAGCCAAATTTTTATCATTAATCTTCTTTGTTAGTAATCATGAGATGCGATTTTACTAAATTACGAACAAATGATACTACCTACGAAAATGAAATCACACGAAAATATTTTTAAATATTACTATGAAATACAGACTCACTGTCACCAATCCATTTCCAGGCTGGGCTTCCTATTCCAAATAATGTAACACCTATCCCTAAAACTGCCATACAAAAGCTCCAACTCCGTGTGCGTACAAATAAATCATGTTCATGATAATCAGTTAACAACTGCCATTGTTGCTGAGTTAGCTGAACTGTTTTAGCCTTGGAAGTTGAATTGTTAGACGTAGTTGTATTGCTGTTGATTTGTGAAGAATTTGTCTTGTCGAATTTTGTTTTATTCATTGGTGTCATACCTCATCATGAATCACTTTGCGATTTTCATCGCCTGTGCCTTTAAACGCTTCTGCATTAGCTACTGTAGCCTGCATCGCTATCTGATACAGTCGATCTGAGGCATTATGTTGACTGTGTGATTGTGAAATGTAATGGCGACCCATTAAATGAGGCGTTTCGGAGAAATGAGGATGATGGGAGTTACATTTACGTCCTTGGCGAGGCTCTGTTGGCATTTTTGAGAGGTTGTTTTAAATAATTGCAATCGCTTCCAAGTATATTCTTCACCAAACTATGTTTCGATTATATCTGTAGTGAAATTGAAATGTGATCATGTTAGACATCTATATCAGTTCCAAACTTGCTTGTTTAGTGATGCCTATTAGTGACCTGCAGTATTCAATATTTAAATATACCTAAATCGCACTGGAACTCAAACGCAAAACATATCACATAAAATACCAATCAGAAATCATAATTATAGACGAATTATGTTGCACTGTGTTTCAAATAATCTTAAGGGTATTAGGATTGGAAACAGGCCAACTTCCCTAGACGAATGTTACTAGAAGATATTTAGTTTAAGATAATAATGGAATCTTGTGCCTCAGAAAAATTAAGACACGCATTTTTGAATTTTCTACATTTTCAAGATGAATGAAGCATATAATTGAAATAAACGAAAGAAAACTATTTTGGTTTTTTTTTCTCTTCTACAAGATGGTTAAAACTATGTGAATATTGTCAGAAGTGATTTATTTAACATACGAAATTTTTTAGTACATAAATGATCTTTGCATCAGGCGTGTTCAAATGTTTCCGGTCAATGAAGCATTACAGAATGAAATTCACGGTACAGGAAGCGGAAATGTTTTGCACACACATTTATTGCGTGTAGGTAGAAAATGTTATGTTCTGATAGTAATTGATCTGATCAAGATTTCGCAGACACCTTATACTTTTGGCATGTTTTACGACATGTCCATAACTGATATATATATATATATATTCAAACAGAAATTGTATGATATTTGACAAAGTTTTTTCTTCAATTCGTGTCTTTATGTTTAAACAGACATTGCTCACATGGTCATCAAATAATTGTCATTTTTTTGAATAGATTAAGAGGAAATGAATATCATAAAATGGACACAATACTAGACGTTTTGCCCTCAAAAACTATCTTAAATTGATGGAGAAATCTGTAACACTTCGTAGACTTGATCACGTGTAGTCCATTAACAGAATTCATGATTAGACTGTGAATAATGTACCCAGTTACTTTTATGTGTGTTCATGTAAAAACGAAATATGTATGACAGCTCTCATAGCTTCTGTTTTGGACTAAATCAGTGTCGGAACTATCATTTCCTCATGAAAGGTTATAAACAGTAATAGTCTAGTTTTAGACAGGAAAATATTAGAGGACAACCACAGTCGTCTCACTGTACGTAAGGTTCATACACATAAGGTATTAGGATGTGTACTTCTCATCTTCGTTTAAAAATATGCCGAATATATATATATATATAATAAAAACACAGTTATAGAAATTTCTCCACTTGTAAACCCAGTTTAGTGTAATAACTGAAGATAATATGATCACTTTAAGATGTTTCCTGTACATAACTCATGGTGTTCCTTTTTTCCATGAGCTAGATCGATTAGCTGTGAACCTTTCATTCGATTTCAACACAAACCTCCAAAAGAAACAAGCTTTTGGCATTGTGTATAAATGTAGTAACCATCTCTATTTCTCTTCAGAACTCTTTTCATACCCATACTCACTTTTATTAGAAATAATAATTATACCTGATATCTGGTCTTACGACTGTAAGAGTTTTTCTTTATGATATCGGGCAGAAAAAAACTACTGAACAAAACTACAGATTTTTTTCATCAAACCAGGTATTATGAGCGAAATTTCGAGAATGGATATATTTTACGAATTATAAGCGGACAAGATGCCATTTACCAAGATTTCGTGACTACTGATGCTCATATTCTTCGGGAAACGTGGTTTACAACCTTTTATCCAGTTTCCACTCACGTAAATTTAAGAATGTGATATGCAAGTAGTACTAACCTGTTTCATCTATTCCACATTTAATGAGAATGAATTTTTGAATGCAGTAAATAGGAATGAAACCCTGAATTAAAAATAACTTTCCTCGTAATAGCGTAAGACAACTGTGGAAAGTAGAGTCTTGACTGAATAAAACAAAGTTTGAAAGACCTGCAATCTACGCATAACTGAATAATAATGGAACTGTAAGCATATCTCAGGAGTCATGGTATCACAGCATGATTGGCGGAACTCATGACGATTATAACATGAAGTGAAACGCATAAACCACTGAAATTCATTTTTCAGGCTGGTCATCTCAAAACGTGAACGGCTCCAGCCTTTATAACTGAATGTATGCACCGATATATACCTGCGATTAACTCGAATTCAATTTCCTAGTTTATGTGGATTTCAGTTAAACTCTTTTTGATAATCTGATCGCTTAGAAAGGTCAATATTGATTTCAGTGATATTTTGAGAAATACTGCAATCTTTTTTGTTATTCTAGCATAATTCCACTTCTTAACCCACAGTGATTTAACATTACTGTATTCATATTTGAACACCTTATCCGAATTATTATCTCGTATACAATAGCGCAAATTGTGTCACTTCATTAATAGTTATTTTATTTTGACTTAAATAATTTCATTTGCCGTATCATCTTTATGTCTTGACCGTATTTTTGGTAACCATTAGATGGGAGTCCAGTATATATTTAAAATAAAGAAATGTTTATACTGACCAAAGAGTACTGTTTTCGATAAATTCATCATCAGGCTCTACATTTATACATACATTATGGTGAATGAATGAGCTAGTGTTATAAACGACATTAATGTTTAAGTAACATCAAATCAATAATACTGATAATTAAACCTGAATCGCATTAACATAGAATAAGCTGAATGTCAGAAACATTAAGGAAGATAATAGTACAAATTCATGAGTTTATAGCTTCTACTAAAGGCCAGGGCAATAGTAGCGGTTGGACTTGCTTCTTTTGGGCACAGAGTGCTGGTTGTTTGAGGCGAATCACAATAGCTTATTCTATGTTAATGCGATTCAGGTGTAATCTATCAATATTATTGATTTGATGTTATTTAAACATTAATGTCGTTTATAACACTAACTCATTCATTCACTGTAATATATGTATAAATGTAGAGCCTGATGATGAATTTATCGAAAAGAGTACTTTTTGTTCAGTATCCATTCTTTTGAAAATTTTAATGGGCATTTTTAATCAGTTAGAATGTTTTGCGGCTGACTGGGAGCGGTTTCTTCAAAGAATAAAACCTTAGGAAGTCACAGTAAGTTGAAATGATAAAACCGAGAAGTGTCTGGAGACCGTAGTCAATTGGAAAGTCAACAAAAAACAGTAAATTCATCATGCACTAGGAAACCTGTCATTTTTGCTTCACTGATATTCGTGAGATACACAATTTCACTTTAAAATTTCAGTTTAGTCCAACGCTGCTTTATTTTTGCCTGTGACATGTGATTATAATATAACTCACAGTGTATCAGTGAGTGAAATCAAGTGAAAGTAAGATACTAGTGAGATGATTGGTGTATATAGACTGTCTAATGAAAAGAGATAGTAAGAAAGCATCTGTAAAGTTAAGTACGTACTACTTCTTAGAGTGAAATCATTTATATCAGTGATGTGTCCGACGATCACTCTCTTAGTCTGCAAAAATAATAATGACTAACTGTAGGAATACCATAGCAAAAAATGTATGTCCTCAGTATACGCAAGGTCATTCTACTAAACTAATGTGTGGAGTCATTGGAGAGAATAAATAATTAAAGTGTTGAAATATTTCAAACAGTTTTGAAGAGAAACCTCGCTTGCATCTACAATAAGTCCTTGACCAATTTCTTTTGAATACTTCCCTCACTATGAGGAGGTACGTAACCGTAGTTCATTCCAGCCGTTTCATCAGCTGTATCTTTCTACTCTTCTCTTTATGGAAAGCCACACTGTTTTCATGACGCTAGCTGTCACATGCATATACTACTTGACTTTAATACTATCTGTTTTGTAAATATGAATAAACGGAACTTCAAATCTTTTGTGAACTTAATGCAGTCCGTTCACACTTTCTAACTGCATATAAAAACAGTGGTAATTAGTGGAACTTATGATGAAGAATTGACAAAAAGCCATTGAATGCTAAGCTAACATGCCTAACAGTTGTAATAAAACTGATTGTGAGTGTTATGTTGGAAAACAGAATAGTAATACCAAGGATGACAAGGAGTAAGCAAAAACAGTTCAGAGTGTATTCCATCAATTCATACTTACAATATGTTCACTTCACTTCTTCGGATTTTCGCTGAGGACAAGATGTTGAGTTTTGTTTTTCTCTCAAAGAAACTAAAAGTCACCAAGTAGTTTAAATTGAAAAAAAAACATTCATAAGTTGACATATACAGGAAATATCTCGCTGTAGCCTAATTATCCTTCATCTATAAAGATGATTCCCTCATATTTCATTACTATGAATACCCAGATTGTTTCTAGAGCAGAGTATAAATACATCCATATATATATATACAATTAAACGATGTAATACTCACCGAAATGTGTATCCTTCACTGCATCATAGAGACATTCAGTAACTAATACTTTATTCTGCAAAACATAAAATTAACATAGATTATTTGTTTACTTATGAACTAAGCCTTTCAGAAGATGTGCATCGAAATAATGTATACATGAAGCAATAAACAAATGGATTTCAATCACCACAAATAATGACGCCATATTTTACTGTGTTCAGTTTTCTAATTTGCTTGATTATTGTTTTGCCTAATTTCATAAAGGTTACCTCTCAATGTTGTCTGTTATTAAGGTCTCTAAGTAGTTAATCTGATATTTATTATTCCCTAAAGAATAAACGGATTTCATACACTTATCGAAATTACCATCATAGTTAACACAGTAACAATACCTCATAATAAAAGATATATGGACTGAACTCGAATAATTCTAAACGTTATTCCACGTAGCCAAAATTTACTTTGCATCATTAGTATCTGTCACAAGAGTTCCCGTTACAGTTAAGCAAATGTTTAGAACCCATTTCATATTGAGGTAATCCCCAAATGCTTCTGCATTTGGCTGGTCCAACTGCCTCAGATAGCATTATCAGTCCAGTGTGATTTGTTTGGACTTTTCAGATTTGAGCGTTTATTACACTTACGCATCCTATATCACTTCCATTGGATTGGTTCTCTTCCGAAAGTAATGTAATTAGTTCATCTAAATTTCTAAAGCCCCTAAGTATCAAAAATAAAAGATATAAAGTGAAGAATTTTATCCCTTTACTAATAATCTGTAGTCTTTCTAATTAGTCATAAAATCACTGCACTGAGCATTCTGAATACTTCTCCTACACTCTTCCAGAAACAAACAATTGGTGGCAGGGAAAATATTTATTCATTCTGCAAACATAAATCTAAAACATCTACTGAGGGAAGCATTACATGTCATGTTTTAACATGGAAATTATTTCATGAAATCCGAAAATTAATTATTATTCTTTGATTTCCATATTTTGTAACTAAAAGTTTCAGTGTTCAAATCTAGGCCTTCCAGAATAATCTCAGCCTAACTTAGACTTGACTAGTATCCCTGCAGCATATGTTTCCTTCACGTCCCCCAGTGAAACATAGGACTTTAAGCTAGTGGCTTGAAGTTTCTATAGCACTGTTTATTTTACAGGATGGCGTTGCTAGCCTCAGGCCCAACCTTTCCTCTTTACCAACATTATTTCTGGCTTAGCGAGGTAAGGGAGTGCATCGGCCGGGGATCGAACCCCGAACCATGTGCATGGTCGGCGAGCGTCCTAACCGCTATGCTACCGACGGAAGTGCATTGCTCGTTTGGCAGTTTATTATAATTACTCATCAGCTGCAGTTAGACAGTGACATTTCTACTCACTAAACTCATATTCTGTCACTATGGAACTCCGAAACCAGTTGTCCATTCTCATTTTGGAGTAGTGAACAGTTATTATCAATTCCAATATCAGTTATGAGTCAAATGACTGCAACATTATGAGATCGTATCTCTTGTGTGCAAAAACCTGAAACATTTCTAACAATATTACCAGCAAAGCGCTTACTCTTTCATTACGGTTATAAAGTCAAGCATACGAATCCCTGCTATGAGTGCTATTGTGACGAAGTTAACAATCTAACATCTGCAGAAATATAGCCTACTATATAAAATGGATTCCGCTACTGACTGCACAAAAATGGTTTTCACTTGTTAACTCATTACTGAGATTATGACACAGTGAGATGAGTAAATAGGCATATCATTTGGAGTTAGATGAAAAGAGTAGAAGGATAGTTCCCAGTTCAGTAAAAATATATCGTCCAAACTTCACTGAATAAGCATACTTGATAGGATTTTCTGTTTACTTTTTATGGTTTCCCAATTAGTTTTTGAAGAAAATTGGCAAAATTTATGTCAGATACTTGATAATAAATGATAGGATTAATTTATTCATAGTGTAAAGAAGAATTTTATTCGGGCTGTTACTACTACGACCAAAACAACCTACTGAAATTGATTCTTTACTTAGTTTTTCTTGCTCTCATCTTAAGATAAATGATTATGTGTGCAATAATATAGAATGCATATGTTGTTTAGCCATTTTCGGATTGATAATCATCTCAATAGGAAGATGAAGACCATTCAGTATGCTATGATTTGCGGTTACGAAATGATGTAGGAAATTTGTAGCTAAGATGGCTAAGACAGCCTCAGAAAATATGTCTAAGATTCTGTGAAACTGGATTTGACAGACTACTCTATGAATAGATATCTTTTGCATCAAACTGCCTCACATTTAAATTTAAAATGAAAGATATCAAGTTAAATATTAAATCACTGGAATTCACCAATACATTCGAGTGGAAGGAAGCAAAGTCATCACACAAGAGATTATGGTATAATAGTCTACAGAACTATGAACTGATATTACTGTATATGATTAGTTTTTTAAAAACAATTTAGAACTCACAGCCAATAAATAATGCACGGACGTCTGTTAAAAATGATTAAAATCACAACAAATATAACTGTGACAAAAAGAAAAACAAATAATCGTTTAGTTTTTTTCATCTAGCGCTTTACCTATTGAGAAGATTTAATCTTCAGTCTCATATTCACTGTTTTGTTTTTCCTAAAAACGCTTACGCATTGCCGTAATCCTTACATGTACATATATATATATATATATATATATATATATATATATATATATAAAGAACAAAGATATCAACGATAAAAACTCTTTTAGCGACGATTTAACCTTTTATAGATGTGTAATTGCATTTAAGTATGGACTAGGTACATTATCATAAGCATATTTTGCATCCTAATCCATATATAAATGTTGTAGTAGATTTTTTAAAGTGAAATCTCTAACGCGTCGGTATTGAACTAAAGACCATCGTATTACGGGATAAACTGGCCTAGTGGTTTACCATTAGAATGAAATTCAATGACTTTGTCACTGTTACTCCGCAGTGAAGAGACTACGACTAGGACGAAATAGACCTTAAGTGCTCTGTGGTTCTCGGTGACTGCTTAACCCCCGTCACTTTGTGGCTAAGTTTGTTAGTCGATAATAATATTAATAATATTGGAGACAATCATAGTTTTCTATGAATAGACACTGAAACATAAGCCTAGTGTATATGTGCTAAAGTCACATGGAAGCTGAGTGTCACTCTGAATAACTGTCAGTTGATATGATACATTAGCCCATGCATATCAAATCAAGACCACTTTTCAGCTCGTATCGACGATATAGATTCTCAACGAACTCAGGATGCAGTGAACTTTAGATGATATTTCCTGTATAAACAAAAAATATTCATATCATGCTGTTTGATCCACTGGATACCGTAAGTGGCGCATCAATAGCTAGTATAGGTACTTCTTTTGAAACCATCCATATTAACAAATAGCGTTAACCAGTCATATGTGTTTAGTATTGGCATCATATAGACGAAATCACTGCTAAAGTTTAGGAGTATTAAAGTCTTGCTTGAGTTCAGTAAGGTTGAAGAAGCAGCAAAGACAGGACTACAAGTGAACATAAACAAGACGGAGTTTATGAAAATAACCAACCAACAACAGCAGTAACATCCAGAGCCAGTCACCATCAACGGGCGGGATCTGAAAGAGGTTACTTCATTCACTTATCTAGGGAGCATTGTCTAAACTACAGGAGGAGAGGACGAGGATGTCAAATAGAGCGAGAATCGGGAAGGCGAGAAATACATTCATCAACCTGAAACCAATTTGGAAATCTTCGTCACTCAGCGTCAACAAAAAAATTCGGATTTTCAATACAAGTGTAAAGTCAGTTCTTCTATACGGATGAGAAACTTGGCGGGCGGGTCACAAAGAATACTTCCAACAGCCTGTTTCAGACCTTTATCAACCAACAACTGTCTTTGCTCAATACTGAAGATCAGATGGCCGGAAAGAATCACCAATAAGGAATTATGGGAAGGAACAAACAAAGCAAGAACCAATCGCCAACCGACAAATATGCAGGAGAAAGTGGAGATGGATCGGAAACTCGCTGAGGAGACCGCTGGGTGACATCGCGCGAGCGTCAGGCCATTGCTCGAGTGGAACCCGAAAGGGAAGCGGCGTGTGGGACGTCCAAGGGTGACATGGAGGAGATAGTGTGAAGAGGGGTTGAAACGGTATGGACTAAGATGGATGCAGGTGAAAAGTACAGCAGAAGACAGAAGAAAATGGAGACGTGCAGTTGAAGCCCTATGTTCCACTAGGAACCCAAGGGAACAATAATATACAATAATAATGAGTTTGGTAAACTGACAGAACTCAAAGAGTTGAAACCACTATAACTGTGTTTATTTACTCAGACAAAATGGTACAATTGCATGGAAATGATTATCTACAAACTACTTGACTCCAGGTGTTTGGATTATCTCCGTTTAGTCCGCAGTAACAATTGGTTACTGAGAGTTATTTTTAACCAGTTTATACATATTAAGTTCAAAAGGGAATGTGAACGCTAACTAGGTATTAATTTGCTGAACAGAAATCTTTACTCAAGTTAACACTGTTACTGTGACTGGCGTTAAATTCATAATCTACAATCCGTAAATAAATAGGACTACTATTTTTGCAATAACATTGAGTGGCTTATGAATTTAAGTAGACATTTAAGAAAGACCTTGTGGAGGTAAGGTGATTTCTCATGTACTTTTATTTATTTGCTAAGCAAAAACACAGTAACACTTATTAAGCCACTAAAGTTAGAATGAATCTTATGCCAAGTCAGATCTATCGACAAATCAAAATGTAATTTGAGAAAGTCTCTACACTGATGTGCACTTAGTTTTATACCTTGTAATTATCAGTTAGGTAAACTTATAATAAAAATAATAAAAGTCATATATTCTATAATCTATTCTTATTAAAAGGTAGACGACTGAAGCAAATTTAGAATGCAAATTGATTAGAAAAAGCAAACAAGCGTAAATTATAATGTCTAATAGATATTCGAAAGAGATCTCTTCTTCTTTGATATATTCTTTTTGATGAAGGTTACTCATGTTAAATAAGTGAACAGATTTAAAATCAGAGAGAAATTTCAAAGTATTGTGCAGTAGTTATTTTGGTAGATGTTGGCCAGCAATAGAATCCAAGATAAGCGTCTCATGATATTTTGAACTTGTCAGTGATGCTTTACTCATACAGACTGGGACACAAAACCCATTGTTTAAGACTCCGAATTGTTATTTACTAAGCCACTAAGCTGTGCGAGCTACCTCTTTTGCGACTGGTTTCAGATACCGCTTTTTGTTTTCATTTCAGATTCCTCCTTCTTTGATTCAACTAAAACTTACAGTTTACTCTTCAGGGACATGTTGGTGAACAGTAGTGTTATGTCACCTGACTCAATGATGGCGTTTCAAGCATTAACCATGTATTCTGATGAAAGCTGTTATAACGAACACGTACCCTGTTAAATACTCAGTGACTAAGTCATGTGTCTCGATTAGTTCTTCAAATAGTACATCATGATTTTGAAAGTTAACTTAGTAGAGCCTAAGACTCTGTATATTCAAGGATTTACTTGGCTGATTATTACAAACAGGTATAAAAATAGTCTAAAGCTTTCTGCTGTCTGGTTTTGAAACAGTGTCTCCTCAGTCTTTGGGAGTACTAATGTACGCGTTTGATTTATTGCGAAAACTCATGACTTTCTTGGCCTTACAAAGTAGATGTACCTCAATGAAATAATGAAAATGTTATGCCAAACAGTTTGTATCTAACTATAAATTATTCAAATTAATCTCAGTGTGTTAAGAAAATCAAAATAAGATTTTTCTGAATGTTTCGCTGTGTAAGCCACAGCTTCTTCAGCAGATTTATTCGGATTTTTTTATACCTTTATAATAATAAACGTTCAGAAAAATCTTGCTTTAATTTTCTTAACACGCTGGGATTAATTTAAATAAGTTACAATGAATCAATCTGACTTGGTGCTCAAATTATTCCAGTAAGCTCGTAACATCTATGATCTGGAAACCAATAAGTTTGTATCTAAATTCACAATGAGAATTACATACACAAGAAGTACTTAACATATTCGGGGAAAAAATCTTCCACTAATATCTTTCAGCGAATTCTACACAAAATCGTTACTTCACATGGACTTACGTATATATTTGAATTCCCGTCATCAATTTCATTCTCTAAATGAATTCCATCAACTGTAAAGTTGTGCATTCAAGCTGGAAGCAACGACATAACCATTCAGTTCATTATTAAACTCATTCACAATAAAAAAAAAATAAAATACACATTATTTTAAGGACAAAACATTGGAAAAATATTATATGAATTGCTCTTTTGATAAGTAAATACTAATTTTTATTGACTAAAATACCTCATGTGAATGGAGATTTAAGACTCACATGTTTTGCAATAAATTTACTTCAATATGATTGGATTATTGAGAGTGGATTTTAATACATTGAAGTTGATTGGTTGACTTATGCATTTTCTTTAGGTAAAAAGGAATCACAGTCGAAGACAATTGGGCAGTGTCAGTATCTTAAAGTCTACTTGGATTGACATATTTCACATAAAATAAACAGAAATGTGACTGATTTATAAATATTTTGAGTTCTAAAATACTGTTGCGTTAAATGAGTCTTCTCATTTCGTATTTATATACATATATATAATTTCAGTATATAATGCGTTGCTAATGCTACACTGAAATAAAACAAATCGTTCAGAATTTCTGACTAAAACCTGCATGCTTTTTATTCATCTATGCGCGTCGGTGGTACAGCGATTAGGACTCTCGCAGACCATGCATATGGTCCGGAGTTCGATTCGCGGCCGGAGCACACCTGATATCAATGGTCGGCCTGCAAAATTTGTGCTACCGATATCACATGCTGAGAATTTCATACTTGTACCGAAAATACTGTGTGGGACCTAGCTATAATCAAAATAAATAAAAATAAATGTTAAAATATAACCAAACATGTAAGCTTAGACAATGCACGCAACTCAGAAAAATCCAACCAACCAGTTAGTAAAATTTTGGAAAGTTGACTATTAAAATATATTGATAAGCCAGATATGATGGTTTAGTGAGGTGTACATTTGTCCAATTTTTGTACCAAAAACTTAATTGCCTTTAAGGAACTATAAATACTAATCTAAGACTTTAAGTTGTTACAGGCAAGCACCCAGAAGACCTGGAACTCAACTACATGCTTTGCGATAGCCATCAGCAAGATGTGACAACAAACTTGAATGAAATATGGTTACTTATATGAGTTAAACCCACATCACCTATGGTTGCAGAGAGGTTCCCTCTAAGATATTAGGACATACGATTGACTTCCAATAGGAGGGGAATGCATACACCCCTGATTCGTCATTATTAATAAGATATCATGCACGTAGCCAATACTACTGCAGTAGAATGAATTCCATCATCAACCTTTATATAGGATCACAAAATGCACTTTGTTCTGATTCAGAGAATGACTATTCTGTTACTATTCACTTACGTTCATACGAGAATATGGTGCTTCATAAGAAAATGTACAGTTCTCTCTATTCTCTGATTACCACGTTACACACCCCCACGATTGACCTGAAGTCATCATACCCAACTCACATCATCATCTCCATGTCAGACTCAGGAGACCAACTCCTATGATCACATTCGGATCTCACTCAATCCCGTCGGGTGCGTACTTCTGAAAATTCCCGGAATAATACGAAATTGCCGTCTAGTACTCTAAGGTTTTCCAATGCTTCTCTAACCAATGTCAGCTGATAATATAGTCCTAGAAACCATTACTAGAAAACATAAGTATTGGTTTTGTATATCAGGAAACGTGAAACCAAGATTCCAGTTTTCAAATGATTACTAAGCACTAAACGCATACATCAGCATGGTAATGCTATTCTCTGCAATACTAAAATACTTTTCACTGTTTAATCGTGGCAGATATCTTTGCACTTTAAGAGAGCGATATGTGAATAAATAGGTTTCAAGGGAACCGAAATTTATATTGAAATTAAGTCTGAAATATCTGGTTTTAAAAGAATACTTAAAGCACAGTCAGCAAAAAGATTCTGTGTCATCAGTCACATAGCTGGATTCGGTTTAGACAAGTAAATAGATTGAATTTGATGAATTTGGCTTCGAACACTATATGGTAGGATAACGGACAGTTCTCAGAATGCCTACATTTATTTGAAGTTCATATAAGTTGTCTAAACATGTTTTCGATTCAAAAATTGATTCACCCACCAATTCTCTCATGTACACAAATTTTCACTTGAAATGATACACAGATTAGTTGGACTATAATTGCATTCAACCAAGCATTCTACTCCTACTGTGAAAAAGTGAATAAATCAAACTTGCATTCTGAAATATCAAATATGATTATCTAGGAATATAGCAGTATTCAGTCCAAGTTACCATAGTATCCACTGTACGCTGAATTCATTCACTTTCATGCAAAGTTTTCTTATCGCCATATTTGTGTATATTATATTTGAATGTCAGTTGAATTGTATTCAACAAAATTTTGATTCTACTTTTGTGATAGTTAAATACCATTTTATTGTCTATCCGAAATTTATTTTGAAGAAAATCAGCCTCCACCCACACTGCGTTTAGAATACATTTTTCATTTGAAAGATGAGTGACCTGTTTACTTTAAAAATGCATTTAATCAAATAGCTTTGTTAGTTACAGTAAACACACTGAATGTGATTTGGATGACTGGCAGTTAAACATACATTTGAATAAATGACTGAAATGATATGATATCAGTTTAATAGTCATTTATTTATCATCATGGACATGAGGATTATTGATTTTCTTACTTAAATTATAACGAAGGAAGGTTGAAGAAAGTGGTATGAATAGTGTTTGAATAGATTGCAGTGATATATATATATATATATATATATATATATACGGCTTCGAAACGCTACTATTAGGAAAATGCATAGAAAAATGTTAACAGATAAATGTGAAATAGAATTCCACATGAGGGTACTTTTTAGAGTCATTCTCAGAAATAAACAATGATGCGTGAATCAACTGTTGCACTACCGATATCTATTCCATAAAATTGGCCATAAAGTGAAACTCAGACTTCTGATCTACTTTCAGTAAAATGTGTATCACAAATAACTTTGCATAAATTCCATCAATCGATAAAAGTTATTATATATATTTTAAATATCTCCATAATTTATTCAGAACGAGAATAATTACAGCAAACAATTGTTTTCCACAAAATTCTTCTTCACAAATTTCACAATTATAAATCCATTAGCATACAATAGCCTGTGAAAGGAAGTTAGAATTATTACCAGAAAGTATATTGTGGTGGAAGATGTAATAATAGTCAGTGAGTTTCGATTATCATGCAAATTCATACAAAAGGTATAGTCAATAAGTACATGAGATATAATGAAATTAGATAATCCAATAATGTGTTTGTCTATATGCAGTCAACAAAAAAAGGTATGGGTTTCAAGGGATCATTGTAATTATTGGTGTGAGGGAGAAAATGAAATAAATCAACCTATGGGGTATGCTCAAAAGATTTATATTGGAAAACACAATTTTGTCTTCGAAACAAATATTACTTTTCGACGAATTTATTTTCAAGTTGCGCAGTCGTATTTATGATGCGACAATAAGTATTGAAAATAGCCCAGTCAACATATATATATATATATCTAGTGGAATTAAACCATAATATACATTCTTTCAAAAGTGAAGTAGCGTCATTAGAAATATCAATAAATGTAGCTTCATTTACTTTTATAGCCCATCCTAAGTTCGAAAATAAATAACAGGTTGTGTGTGGGGCTAGCAATCCGGTTAAATCCGCAGAATCATTGATTCAATGATATTAGATGGTTGGAGGTTATCCGCAGGAAGCCTTGGACCTAGGTTTCGCGATAGTTGGCACTCACCAGTCAGCAAGGTGTATCTGCAACCTTAAAAGAAACTAATGTCTCTTCTGGAGAATCAAATCAAACGTTACAGTAACTTCAAAGCAGAGAGAAAATATGAAAATTAAAATAATCACGGGGATTTAGAATACTTGCAAAATGTTCGAAGCTGGAAAGGCTACCCAGATTACCAAAGAGATGAGAAGACATGACATCGAAATGCTAGGATTCTGTGATAGCTGATAAAATACATGTGTCAATAATCTAGACTCACTCACTTGGCGGCTATGATAACACTGAGGTAGTGGCCATCATGATGTCGCTAACAGCATCCAAGGCTCTTATATAGTGGGATAATGACAGCAAGAACCAGCCGAATAGGTGAGGATGCAACAATTATTCAATGCTACATTCCTTTAAACAGCACAGATTAAGAGAAGGAAGACCATTGCGAATGTTAACGGATGCGATTGTAATGAACAAATTGTTTGGAAAATCTCTCCTGAGAGATCTATTTATAACATTTATACCTATTTAGACATTTCAGCTTTTTAAACGTTATACGTATTTTCCCTAGACTGTGTATCACTGATTGGATATCTGCATATGATATGTTGATGTGTGACCTTCATTATTTGCCTTCATCCTTGTTTAATCTCGAATTGTAATACTTCTTTATTGTTTTGTGTACATCGGCAGTGCGTCATTTAACAATATGAGTTTGTCTGAGTAAATGAAGGTGATTCTGATCCTGGACCGTCTGCTAAAAGCGTTGGTGTCTGATTTTGTGGACAGAGCTTTTGATCCAACCTTGTTGGGAATGTTATCCTTGATCCAAAGGTACCTTTTACAGTTGGAAATTGATCAACCAATTCTGTCTAACACCACTTGTTTTGTTTTTAGAAATATACATAGCCTGTATAGGTGCCTCACGGCGCTGCTGAGGTAATTGTAAGTTCAATTTTGTTATTGTCCAATGAAAACCGCTTTTGCCTGCCTCTGGAACTCTCCGTGACAGCGCATATCTCAACGAAGTTTATTCGGCAATAGGGCAGAACGTAGAGGTCACTTTTTAGCGTTTAGACCGTAACCGAATAAATTTAGTTGCCACAGAGACCACAAGTCGTAACAAACAAATCCCAACGGGCGACTAAAATCCCAAACTGAGGACATACAACATATCGTCATATGTCAGGAGAGTATTAGCTGAATGAATGATAATGAAGAACTCTTCATGGACGTCTGTGCATTAAACGATTCGGTAACTAAAGGTA